TGGGAGTAGCTCAGTGGTAGATCACTTGCTTAGTATGTGAGAGCCCTGGTTTTAAGCCCCAGCACTGCAAAAAACAAAACAACCCAAATCCCACTTAATTTAAAGCCATGAATTCAACAGACAGGCTATCCAATTCTACATTGTAAGGGAGGCAAACGTGTTTTCTCTCTTCCCATCTTAGATTCTGTGGTCAAGGTGCTGTAAACTAGCCTGGTAAGAGACAGGCAAAGAAGAGAAAACCAAATATATTCACTACCAAGAGTGTGGAGCAGGCCCAGGGAGCATCCAGTGGTGAATGTGTGTGTGTGTGTGGGGGGGGGTTAAGGGGTTGGGGGGGGTGCGGGGGAGTTGGCCTATACAGCCTCTTGATAAGAACAGTAAGTATGAGAGCAGGGACAGAACAAAGAAAAGGCACTTTGGGTCTCTATGGCAGCAAACTGGGCAAGGAATGAGTAGGAGACAAGAGCTAGTTAGTACATCCCCCTGGTGCCCTCCCAGGATAAGGAAGGTCTAGTGTTCACTCCAGTGATTGAAATATAGAGGGAAGGTGGATACCTCTGTGAATATGTCTCCTACCGTTAGGCAAATAGGCAGTGGGAAAGCAACTTCTTAGCAGATGAGGAAAAGCAGTTAGGTGACCAGCTCCGCTTGTTGAACACTGCCCCCTTGTGGCTTTGACTTTGAACATGTCTTGGAAAGATGGAGTGATCTTTATTGTCTCTTGCATTCTACATTTCCTTTATTCAATTATTTCTGTTATTTTACTTAATTTTGTTCAACGTGTCTCTTAAAAGAGCATGTGTTAAAAAACAATCCCAACTTCATATGCTCACAATATTTGGAGGTGGGGTCTTTGGGTGGTCAGTAGAATTAGATGAGGTTGTAAGGATGATGCCCTGTAGTGGCATTAGTGTTTTATAAAAAGAAGAACCCTTTGAACAAGCATGCTTGCTGCCATGTTGTGCCGCAGCAAGAAGGCCCTCACCAGAAGCTAGCAACTTGACAGTAGACTCCCAGCCTCTAGGACCAGGAGCTGAACAAACCTCATTTTTTATAAATTACCCAGTCTATAGCATTCAGTTATAGGAACAGAAAAAGAACTACATCAAGTACATTCTATAAACACTGGAAGAAAATAAATATAGAAAGAGCATGAGTTGGGAATCAAATAGACCTGAGTGGTTAATCTTAGCTGTGTGACTGTGGACATACTACCTTTCCTGAGCTTTAGGTCTCATATGTAACATGTCAAAAAAAAATCAGTTTGTTCAGCATCATGGAGAAAATAAGATTAGGGTGTATATTCAAAACAACTAATAACAGTTAATACTTTTATTGTGCTTTCTGGGATCCAGTCATTAAATACTATTTCCCAATCTAACTACACATTCATTCATACACACACACACACACACACACACACACACACACAAATGATTTTTATCCTCATTTATAAATGGGAAATTAAGATACAAATAGTTAAGTAACTTGCTATGGTCAACATAACCAAGTAAGTGAATTCAAACCCATGCAATGTGGCTCAAAAGGCTATGATTTTTAACCACTACATACAACCTGGCATCAATAAATCCTTGTTAAGATAATGAGCTAAGCAATAACAGAGGAAATGTGGAGTTCATTTCTTTTCTCCACATGTTATGTCTTTTATGTAATCTATAAAACAGTAAAGGAAACTCATAAGCCAGGGAGAATCTTATTCATTCTCTACTGGCCCAATCCTTCAAGAATAGATGGCTGCGGTGGGGATTTAGCTCAGTGGTTCCACTTCCTGCCTTGCAAGTGCAAGGTCCTGAGTTCAATTCCCAGTACCAAAAGAAAAAAAAAGAATAGGATGGCTGTCCTAAGTGAGAAAGTGTTATTGAATATGAACCAAAGTACCATCTCTATGACTTGAGATACATTTTTAATTTTTAAAATTATAGAAACAATGACAACTTCTTCCAAGAAAATGCAGGTGGACAGTCAGAAGGCACTTTTCCTGTTCTATTCTCCTCAGTTCTTCCTAGATTATAGTTGTTTAAAGGGTGTAAGTTACTGGAACATATTTGTGACACCTAGATCTATGTGTCAATTTGACTGGGCCACCGGGTCCCAGATATTTGGTTAAACATTATTTTGGGTGTGTCTGAGTATTATAGAATTGGCAGACTTGAGTAAGCAGCTTACTTTCATGTGGGTGGGCTTCATCCAATCAGTTGAAGGTTTCAATAAAATAAAAAACTGGACTTTTCCCAGTAAGAGGGAACCCTTCCTATTTCTAGCCTTTAGATTGAGACATCAGCTCTTTTTTTTTTTTTTTTTTTTTTTTGCTTTCAGACTCACCCTGAAATACTGACTCTCCCTGGCTTTTCTTTTTATAGGAATTACTACATTGGCTGTCCTGGATCTCCAACTGCCAGCTTACCCTGCCAATCTTGGATTGTTGTGATGGTCTCATGAGCCAATTCTTTATAATTAATTTCTTTCTCCCTCTCTCTGCCCCTCCTCCTCTCTTATGTGTGTGAACGGATACACACGTCTATATATGGGTGAATGTGTATATGTATATATCTCCTTTAAAAGGACCCTCATTACTGCATTATTCCTATTTCTCAAATACACCTTCTTTTTTTTTCTTTCTTTTGGTACCGGGGATCGAACTCGGGTCCTTGCGCTTATGCAGCAGGCGGCAAAACTACTGAGCTAAATCCCTGGCCCCTACACCTTCTTCTTTCCATGGTCATTTCTGTAACTTATTTGAGGCTCTTCTTAGTCTTTGCTGGGTTGCTGGAATAATTCTTTGTTCCAGTGTCATTACATAAAATTTTCCTATGTCCCCCTTGCTCTGCCATGCTTTTTCTAAATCTAAATGTGTTCATGCCACACTGCCTTGCAACTGTTAGCATGCCATTTTGCACCTTTAGGATGAAATTCAAATCCATTATGTTGGTGGAGGAAGCCCTTCACAATCTGTTTACTTCTTTATCTACAGCTAGATCATTTCTCCTGCCACCCCCTGTGCAGACCAAACTGCCCTGTGCCCCTGCACTCTGAATGGCCCTTTCTTCCTCTTTCATCAGGAAAACACCTGTGACAACAGAGGTTTAATGCCACTTCCTTCAAGAAGCCATCTGGCTTAGCCAGCTCAGGCTGCGGTAACACAATACCACAGAGTAGATGGCTTAAAAGACAGAAGCTTAATGTCTCGTATTTCTGCTGGTAGAAAGGTCAAGATTATGTGCTGCATTTTTGGGTCCTGGTGAGGGCTCTTTTCATGGCTCACAGACAGCAGTCTCTCCCTGGGTCCTCATGTGATAGTGAATTCTGATCCCTCTTCCTCTTATAAAGACATCAGTCTTATTGGACTATGACCTCAATCAACTTTTATGACCCTTGTTTAGGCCCCACCTTCAAATACAGTCACTCTGGAGGCTATAGCTTCAAGATACAGATTTTGAGTGTGCATACATTCAAGCCATAAGGCCAGCCCCAGCCCTTCCTTGGCTGTCTGATTGTTCCTCCACCTCACCTTCCCAGAACCTCATTCTGAGTCTTTACAGTCAGATGCGAAAGTTTTATTTGTCAGAATCTCTGGATTGTCAGCACTCCAACTGCGGGAATATATGGTGTCTCTGTCTCTTCACCACCTAATTTGGGTCCTAAATACAGTAGGTATTCAATATAAAATGCTGATTAAATGGATTTCAAGTTCTTTTGGACATCTAAATCTAGATATTCTGCAGATGCTTCAAATTCTTCAATTCCCAAATTAATGCATCATTATGTCTCTAGCCAGCTCATTAATCCTGCTTTTACTGCTGACACTAACCTTGGTCTTATTTGCCAATGGGTCAAGTTTTCCACCTTCCGGGTCTGCTTTATCTCCCCACTTTCTTTAAGGTTCATGTCTCACAGGTCTCCCAAACTTCTCAGATCTATTGATTCCAATCACATCAGATTCTATGGTTGCTAACATGGGCAACACTTTCCAGTCCCTTTTACTTATGTCACATTTTATGTTTGGAAGTGAACTCTGTATCAATCTGATTTAACTTATCGTTAAGGGCATCTCAAATCTAATCTCTTAATCCTTTCTCTGGAGATAGAAAACCAGACTCAAAGCTCAGTTTCTCCCACACTCCCACTCGACAACAATCAACATAGATGGTATTTTTACCTCACAATTTGTATCTCAAGTTATAATCTGCAGACCTCTTGCATTAAAAAACGAAGATTCCTAAGCCGTAGTACAGACATTGAGTATGGGAATCTTTGGAGGACAAAGCTCTTTTCTTACAAAAGCCCCAGTGCTTGTCATGCATGCTGGAGTCTGAGATTCTCTCTCCCTTCCCAGCTATTCTTTCAAAAGGACTCAAACACACAAGAGTAAACAGCAAACAGTATGACAACTGCAGTGACAGCGCAATGCACCTTCACTCCGCGGCCTCCATACAGTATAAGCCTGCTTCCTGAGTGTGTACACACACATATACAGAGATACACAGAATTACACACTATACACACACCCATATAAACAGACACATACACGTACCCATACACGGAGGCACATAGACATGCACACATACAGAGAGACACGGGCACAGAGATACACAGACATATAGACAGACACACATACACACGAGACACACAAACAGATTCACATGCACGAACACAAAAACACACAGAAACAGACATCACTTCCTCTTCCCCCATCCCCAAGCCGGCCAATTCTCAGTAGATTCCAGAAGGCGTGTCTCCGTAGAAGGCACCGAGAGACTTCTGCCCACCGCCCTCGGGAGGCCCCCACGCAGGCCTGAGCCTGCAGAGATTCGGTCTACGATTCAGAGACGTTTCTAACAATTCCGATACTAACAAGCCCCCGAGGGCGCCGCGGAGCTAAGTTCTGCGCGGAAGGCCCAGGCCAACGCTTCACCCGAACTCCCTCACACCCAGCCCGCCGAGACCCAGCTCCCGGCTTCCCGATCTCTCCAGGCTCCGCCCCCTGACGTACACCCCCCCCCGCGGCGTGAGGCCGGCTGCGGCCGTTGGCTGTTAGCGAGGCTTGGGCGGTTGTCTGGGAGAATCGAGATGGCGGCGACGGCGGCCGCGGTAGCTGCTGAGGAGGACACGGAGCTGCGGGACCTGCTGGTGCAGACGCTGGAGAACAGCGGCGCCCTGAACCGCATCAAGGTGAGTCGAGCGGAGGGGGTCGGGGCGGGGGGGACGGGAGGCGGCGCGAAGCCGGGGCACGCGGCCGAGGCCTGAGTCCGCCGAGGTCCCGCGCGACCCTGGCCAGCGGGTGAGGGGGGCCCAGTGGGCTGGGGTCCTGTGCGCTTCTGGGCTTGGGAACTGCTTTGGAAGAATTCTTGCCCTTTCCCCCCTTTCTTTTTCAAAGGCTGAACTCCGCGCAGCTGTGTTTTTAGCACTAGAGGAGCAAGAAAAAGTAGAGGTATGAAATCTCTAAATTTTAATGTGACCGTGTTCGTTAGTGTCTACTTTCTAATTAGTTAAAAGCCACTTCAAAATACAATTTATAGTATTGTATGTCCGGGGATAATTTGAACTGTTAAGCTTTATACTGCTTTACTATTGGATGAGAGCCAAAATTATTATTTTTTGTGTCTTTTTGAATTTTGGAGTAACCTTCAAATATGACAGTAACTCTGAGGACGATGCTAAATCTGAAGAGTCTTAGGAGTTGAAGAAATGGTTTCATTGTCAATGAATTAACTATACAAGTACTCAGAATCTTTAGTAAGCTAATGTGCATCGTGACTCCCTTCCAGGGAGGGGCTATGTAGTTTTCGACTTTTCCCAAAATTATATTACTACTCAAGTAATTTTTAAAACATCACTCTTTCTTGTCAAAAAGTCCAGTCACACCTTTGAATTTAAGTTGCTAATTTACCTTTCTCTCTCTACCCCAAGTTCCACCAAACATCTTGAATATCCTGTAACTTGTCAACAAGAATCACTTCTTCAATTTTTAAACTCTTTCTTAGTGACTACACATCAGTCTCTTGTCCTTCCACTTTTTTTGACCTGTGTACCTGCTCTCTAATTTCATGAAATCCTTCAGCTTTTTGTTCTTTCCTTGTCTACACGTCGGTCTTGGTTCCTTTCTGTTCCTGCCTAGACTAGACTCCACTGTCAATGCCTCAGAAACCCTGGCTATTTTTCTTTACAGTCATTCTTAGTTTGGAAGAAATCTTAATGTTCATTTTATCCAGGTGCTAACTCCATTTCTTATTTCTGCATAGGAACTGCTAAAGACAAGTCAGGTAACCATGTGAACTGGTGCTGTTACAGGTTGGTGGACCCCAGCAGCTCTACTTTTCACCAGCAATTCACACTTCAGCTTCACTTTGGTCTTCTCCCTCTATGTCTCCTTCACTCTGGACCTAATCCTAACCCTCACAGGGAAAATAGAAACCATTAGGTCCTAACTTTTTGTCCTCCTTCTCCTGTCCTGAGTCTTGTTCACCTCAGGAAAAGCTTACCTGTATGTTTTTCCTTCCTGCTTTGGTAGAAGAGGCTCTGTCTTGTATAAGCATAATTACTTTGGGTTTTGCTTTCCATACACGCTCATCTTTTTAGTTGCTATGTCCTTGACCTCTCCCTTTCTGTTGGTTCTTCTCTTGAGCATGAAAATGTATTTAAATTTCTTTTAAGGAGAAATGTCCTGCCATTGTTTTCCACTCTGTTTTTCCTCTCACAGCCAAGTTTTGAAAAAATGTGTATGTTTTATACTACTTGTACCTAGTTTACCATTTCTTATGTGCCAAGCATCCCTTAATCCACCACTACTACACCTAAGGAATTATGTTGGATTAACTAATGGTCAACTTGGAATGCCCAGCAGAACTGAGTCAGCGTGGTTCTGGGCATGGAAGACTCACCTGAGAATTATTGCCAGCAACAGAGAGAGAACTGGAGGGGAAGATTGTATGCTGCTGATTTTCTTGGAGAAGCTTGCTATAGTTAGTTTTCCTGGTATGAACTTGGCTGTCCTCATTGTCAGAGGAGGCCAGGTCCCCACCATGATGGCTGCTGTCCTCGTCAGGGGAGCTCTGGTCTTCGCCTTGAGCATCGCTTCCTGGCTCCAGTGCAGATTTTTCAGCCTAGTGACACAGATCCTTCACCCTGAGGACACAAACTTTCTAGCTTCCACCTCTGGCCTTTGGGCCTTCGCAGTGCAGATCCCCAATACAGACTTGGCATGAGACATTACCTTGGGCTGTAGGCCTGTGGCTGAATTCATGGACATTGCCTTATGCTCTAGGCCTTTAGCTGGACTTGTGTGGGACATTGCCATGGGATCCAGGCCCTCGGTTGGATTCTTCAGGTTCTAGCGTGTGGATAGATTTATTGCACTTCTCTGCATTTGACTTTTTGGGTGAATATTATAAAATCTTATAAATTATGTGTCCTGTATTAAATCTATTCCCTTGCAAACCCTGACTATAACAAAGAATTTCTCTTGTTATAGTCGAGGAATCTCCTGAGTATGCTTTAGTTCTTACTTGTTTTGGTTTAACATTGTGCATTTGGTATTAATTTCTCCTTCCTTTTTGAAAGTCTTCCTTGACTTTGAGATCATTCTCTCTTCTTTCTTTTTTCCTTTTGCATGTACTACTTGGTTTCTTTAACACTATCTTTTTCCTGTATTTGCACCTAAACCCTTGGTGCCCTATTGTGCATTCTTTCCCTAGTGACCTTAACATCACCCATAACTTCAGCCCTATATTTTCAGTGTATATATTCCTTCTGAGTTTCACACTTACATGTTAAACTGCATAATAGGCTACCTTTTCTGGGACAGCCAGGCAAGAAATCTGAGCATTTCCTAGGCCCAACTCTTATTTCCACTTGCTCAGTCATTGCTTGGATGTGTCTGGCAGGTCTCTGAAGGATGTTTTGCTGCCCATTTTGCCTGTATTTTCCAGAGTGCCCTATCCCCTTCCATCTCTCTGATCTTCCCTTTGCTGGTGCTGCTCACTGTCTGCCTCAAGTCCTTTCTCTACATGACTCCTATGTTGACAACTTACATATTTGATCATGGCCTTTGAATTTCTTTGAATATTTCAATTATTCAGTGTCTTAAAATTCCCTAGACTAGCTTACCAGGAAGCATTCTGATTTTTAACTTCTATGTCTTTTATTGTAGCAACTTGATTATGTAGATGATGTACAGTAAACTCAACATATTTAAAATGTGCAGTTTGATAAACTGTAACATTTATGCAACTGAAATGATCAATACAATCAAGATAGTGAAATAACCCTGACCCCTAAAATTTTCTTGTGTCTGATGGTGACATATCTCCATCTCCTAGCATCCTGAACATTTTTAAGAGCCAAGCGTAGGGGATCATATAGTATATAGTTTTTTTGACCTGATTTCTTTTATTCTGCATATTGTATTTGAAATTTTTAATGTAGTGTATATTAAGTCATTCCATTTTATCCTCAGTTTAGGATTAATCATTCTGTCAATCCACTGAATGAATATATGACACTTTGTGTAGCTTTTCCATATTAATGCACATATCTGGGTTTTTTCTAGTTGTTGATTATTATAAATAAGGCTGCTGTGAACATTTCATTTGCAAGTCTTTGCTTGATCTTGTAGATTCCTCTTGAGAAAACACCTACAGGTAGAACTAATGAGTCACATTCTAGAGATATTTTGAACTTTTAAAAAAATACTACCAAACTGCTTTCCAAAGTATCTGTGCCATTTTGCATTCCCATCATCAGTGTATGAGGCTGCCACTACACCTGTAACTGGTGTGGTTGGCTTCAGGATGTCCATCATATGCTACTATTTAGCCTCCTTCTCAGCAACAGTCACAGATTTGATATGCAAGAAAATTTTTTTTCCTGCATTTTCAGTCTATAATTTCAAAGGTAAATTGGCCTATAGGCACATAAAATCATCTCACATACTACTGATGAACTGGCAGTTGCGAGTGTATATCCTATAAGTTGTAGAAACCTAAGAAGATAAACTATCAAACTTCATGTATTTGAAAGTTGTTTATATAAGTACATGTAATTGTCTTACATGAGTATTTGAAGATTGTCTCACTTTAATAGCAGTTTAATAAAACATTCAAAAATTAATAACTGAATGTTCATATATATGGCTTTGTTTTATTAACTCTGAGAAAATAAAATTAAATTAGCACAAAGCAAGTCCTATAGTAATCAGCAGTTTTGGAATGGGCATCATAAAACTATAATTCTATGAATGACAATGTATAACTTACATCCTTGCCAGAAAATTGAACTATAATGTACGTTTTGTAGTTATTTTTAGGATAAACACATGGCACTTAAAGTATTTTATTTTGTTTTTTACAGAACAAAACTCCTTTAGTCAATGAGAGCCTGAAAAAATTTTTAAATACAAAAGATGGTAAGATGTTCCACTTGTTCTTGTTTTTTTTAATGTGACTGAATTTTCAAATCTTGTCACCTTTTGTGAGAAATCAGGAATTTTTTAAAAGTCTGTGCTTTTCATATGTCATTTAAAAATAATATTTCACTGTGTAGTGGTAAATATTATCAAATATAGTAATATTATCAATGAAACACTGAAATCTATGAAGTGTTAAACTTTTCCAGTTAGTTTCAGACTGATGATACTGATGAAAAAATAGAAAAATTGGGATTTTTATTACTTAACTATATTGCTCAAAGAGAACAAATTTATAACTTAAAAACTTGAGAAACCTCTTTGCTCTCATTAATTGTATCTTATTTCACAGTGCTAATTAAAAAATTCAGAGTTCTTAAAGATTTACACACATAACTTTCTCTTGCTCTTCACAGGTCGTTTAGTGGCAAGTCTTGTTGCAGAATTTCTTCAGTTTTTTAACCTTGACTTTACCTTGGCTGTTTTTCAACCTGAAACTAGCACAGTAAGAATAATGATTTTTACACCAATTCTATGTAAACCTTGCCACAAATGAGTTCAGTTAAAAACTAATGAAATTTGACAACTTAGAGTTAGTTTCATACAAGTTATTATTTGTAGTTGTTTATTTTTCTTAAGAGCCATCTGAGCTGTCAGGATGGGCACCAATTGGAGCTTTATATAACTTGAATTTTGTTAATAGAGCAGTGTTATTGTAGAGATACTCTGTTACAGTGTTATGCTGCAGCTATTAATGGAGACTGAAAATAGACTTTCTATAAAAAGTTAAAAATGACCATTATTTGTTAGAAAGCCTCATTGAGTTTAAAAATATCTTAAGTTCCTAAAATACTTTCTTTAATTTTCAGACATACTTTTGTGTACTTATATCATTTCTTTTCTAGTTTCAAGGTCTTGAAGGGCGAGAGAATCTAGCCCGAGATTTAGGTATCATTGAGGCAGAAGGTACTGTGGGTGGACCGTTACTATTAGAAGTGATTAGACGCTGTCAACAGAAAGAGAAAGGGTCTGCCAGTGGGGAAGTAAGTATAATCCTATGTTACCTTTTTCTGTTTTTTATTTATTGCTTACTTAATTTAACCATGCAGATTAGTACATATCCATCTAGACTTACATAAAAAGAAGATAGTTTTTAAAGATGAGATGAAATTCATTGAGATTATATAAATACATATTTTAATGAAAATTGAAATGTACGGATCCCAACACTATTGTGTACCTGTTTTGCTTATTGATGCTCAGAGTATTGGGTTCAGGAATCCCTCACTGACTAGCTGTTGCCTTGGACATGTCGCTTAACCTTACAAAATGAAGGTAACAGGCCCCACCTCACATAGTGTTGTGAGATTCATATGCACATGTAAGAATGATTGTTGGCCTATAAAACATTGTCAATTGTTTTTATTATTAGTTAAATACAGAAATGTTAATGATAGAACTAGTTAACAGTTTTTTGGACCTACAACTTTTTAAAAGTAAGATTAAAACAGCTGTTGATTTTGTTTAGTTTCTAGACATGTTCAAACTTCTGCTTTCTTGATTAGCACTTACTCCTCTTACTTGTAACCAGTAACCTTTCTTTTTAAAAATCCTCATGGATTAACTGATTTATGTGTGTACATATCAACTTTACATGAAGATACTCTGTTTTACAGATGGGGACACATCTGTGACTGTTTCAGGTATCTGCTTAAGTGCACACTTTCAGTTATAGAAGCGCACAGCTAAGAATATGGAGGGCTAGAGCTACCAATTTATGCCATTTGGAGACTCAGTGTGTTTTCTGTTAGATTCATTAAAAGTTAGCTTTTCTTTCATTTACTAGTATCTATTACTTTTAGAGGAATCCTGCCATTATAAAGAAATAAAACATAAATTTTAATGATGTGTGAATTTTGAGCATACAAAACAAAACTAGCTATGGATTAAATTAACTTGCTGAACTGAGTTATGGTACTTTTTAGCAAAATGACATTTTGAAACACCATACGCATCAGGTTGTTGGGCCCCACATGCTTTAGTGGGACTTTTGGTTGATTTTATCGAATAGCTCCCAGTTTTTGGTAATTAAAAGCATTCTCTTGTTTGCTGAGCTCCTCAGTGAGTCATTGTCATCTCCTTTAGCATCCTGATTTGTCCATACCTTCATCTTTATTGAGGAGCATCATTTCTTCTTAAGGGTTCTTGGCTTTTCAGTCTGTTCATTGTTGCAGAGTCATTTATTTATTTATTTATTTATTTATTTTCTTCGTACATGTTTGTGGTACATAATGATCACATTTCTCGTGGGAAGTTGGTACATGTATAAACACATCTTAATTCTTGTTTTAATCTTTACCCCTTTCTTTTATGCCCCCTTCTTCTATCTCTTGTCCCATTTCTTTATGCAAAAAATCTATTTCACTATTTCCTATTATCTGTCTTTTATTTTGCTTTTTATTTATATTTTGAGTTTCTGAATCTGAGTATGATTTGTTTGGCAAAATTAGAGGAATATTAAGGATATTTTTAGAATGAAAAAATAATGCCAACATTGTATAGTATTTTTAAATACTAAAATACCATTGAAATGTAATGGATATGTTCATGTTTTATCTTTAAATGTGTTTTAATTTCAACTGTGATTCTAGGGTGCTCTGAGTCTTTCTGATGTACATTCTCCACCAAAGTCACCAGAAGGAAAAACAAGTACACACACAACCTCTAGTAAGGTGAGTCCCCTTACTAAGTATTACTTACTACTCCCAAAGTGATGTCTGGATGAGACACCTCAGGGCTTTGCTCCTCTCTGCTCTTTTTTGTTGCATCTTTTTCTTTTGGTACCAGGGATCGAACTTGGAACCTTGTGCTTGCGAGGCAAGTGGCGGAGCCACTGAGCTAAATCCCCGGCCCTGTTATATCTTTTGTTGTTTTGTAACAAGTGCTCTTCAGTTTCTTGAAGGGGCTTTTTTCCCTCTAAATATGTATTTTTAAAGGTTCTTTTGTTTTATTGGTGGTGTTTTGAACTTTGTATGGCAGAAAAAAAAATACGCCCTTAAATATCGGTAATTTAGAATATTTGGACTCATTTGGTACTTTGAACATTTTTGTTTTCTACTAACAAGGATATTTACTTTTCATTTGTAAACTCCTATTTTGAGAATTATAGGTTCCAAGTTGTAAAATTGTTGTTTTGAATACTATAGGGGTTTAGATAAATGACCAGATTTGGAATTGTAAACTATGATTTTTTTCTTACAGTAATGAGCTATTTTAATAGGATTTATAGGAAATGTACTGTGATTACATTTGTAAATGTGTGTGTGTGTGTGTATGTGTTTATGTTTATGAGTTACTAAAGGTAAGACCTGATTTCATGTCTGTAACATAAAGGAGAAAAATGTTGAATTAAACTCTTGAATTTAAGATCAAGGATATATGTATAATAGTAGCAGAATGAATAGAGAGATGATTATCAGGAAAATTGTCTCTGGTGACTGGTTAGAGTATAGCATGAGTTGGTAATACCAATTTGTCTTATAAAAGGATGAGTCTAGGTCATAGTCCTTTCGGACTGCTATAATAAAATAACACAGACTGGGTAGCTAATAAACAGTAGATTTATTTTTCACAGTTCTGAAGGCTGAAGTCCAAGATCATCAAGGCATTAGCAGATTTGGGGCATGATCAGGGCCTGATTCCTGGTTCCTAGATGGTGCCTTCCATGTGTCCTCAAATGGTAGAATGGGCAAGGGAGCTCCCTGGAGTGCTTTTAAAAATTTTTTTCTTTGCAGCACTGATGTTCATTCATCACCAAAGTGGAGATTAAACCCAGGGCCTTTGCACTAAGCTACATCCCCAGCCCTTTTTTATTTTGAGACAGGGTCTTGCTCATTGGATATGTTGCCCAGGCTGGGCTCAAACTTGCAGTTCATCCACTTGAACCTCCTAGAGTACCACTACACCAGGGCTTGGAGTCTCTTTTAAAAGGGCTTTAATCCCATTATGAGAGTTCCACTCTCTGGACCTAGTCACTTCCCACAGGTAGCACTTCCTTAGGGGTTGGGATTTTGACATGAATTTTAGGGGGCCACGAACATGCAGTCTTTCATGGGTCAGATTTGTGTACTGTAACTTCTCCTTTGATTTCTTTTCTGTAGGAATAGAGGGTACTGTAGAGTACATTCCAGAGATTAGGCTTTGTGTGTGGGCCTTGGGTGGTATATCTTTTTAAATCAGGTGAACTTGTGGAGGCTAGTAATTATACTGCCACATAGCTCTCTTTAAGTGTCTAGGCACAGAACACTGCTAAATGATTGGTCTTAGTATTTTTTAATTGTTCTGTGATGGTACACCTGTTTTTCTGCAGTACTGGGGATTGAACTCAGGACCTTGCGCTTGTGAGGTAGGTGTGGCGCCACTGAGCTAAATCCCTGGCCTGATGATACTCCTTTTTAAGTTTAGAATTTCAAAGAATTTTATACTTTTTCTAGCCAAAGAGAAAGATTACTATAGTGTTCATATTACTTCCTTCTGAGATTTCTATTTAACCTATTCTAATAGGGAAAGTCTTTTTTGAAAATATTTTTTTCTTGCTGCTGTGGGAGGTTATATCCCTGATTACAGAGCAGGCCAGGGTAAATTTTAAAAATTCCTATAATTGCTGATGAAAAAGCCTATTGAAGGAAGGAAGACTCATGTATTTTCCATGAAAATATCTGACATTAGAGGTTAAAATTAATGAATATTCCAAAATACTTAGCAGTACTTGTATACTACTTGTTCTATTTGGAAGTTCTCTTTTTAGCAGATTACTTTTTTATTTTTTATTTATTTATTTATTTATTTTGATACCAGGGATCGAACTC